TGAGAATAAATGTAAATTATGTTTGACAAACTAACACTAAACTTTTATTGATGCAACATTTACTTTTCTAAAGATGAATAAAATCGGACTCACCAAACATCGACGTCCTTTCCAGGAGAAATTAGAGCTGAAGCTTCTCCTGTTTGTTTTCTATTCTCTCTCAGAGCTGGACTGACTCTTTGTCTCCTGAGGTGCAGGAATATAAAACCTCCTTCGCTGCTCTCAGGAGCATCCAGTCACGTTCGGAGTCAAATTGCCCAATAGTTTTTTGGTTTTAAATCTCAGAAACAGCAATGTTATAAATAACAAAAGATATAGAACAGAGTAATAAATAAAGTTCTTACATAACGCTCGTGTCCCTCGTTGTTACGGGAAGTCAAAGAGCGCTGGAGTTTCCCAGCAGCAGAGACACAAACCAGATGTTGGATGTTTGAGACTCGACAGACACTGAGGAGAGAATCTTTTTTTTTTTTTTTTTCTGTGTCTTTTGTTGTCGGCCAAGAATTTGCACAATTTGGGAAATAAACTCAGTCAACACGATGTTTTGGTTCATGTTGTTGTAAAAAGGCCGAGTGGTGCAACAAGTACTGTGACAGAAAGTTTTTAGAGTGTTTTGACTTTTATTAGCTTCACTCGGTAAATTAAAAAGCTTTTGGTTTGATGTGTTATTGCTTAATAAATCGTTTTTATTCACGACTTCAAATAAAAGAAGAAAATATAGATGTTTGGAAAAATTGGGGTGGGGGGGGGTGGGGGAGGGGCAATTGTTTTTTTAAAAGAAGGCAACAAAACATGTTCTTATTTTCATACAAAACTTTATTCACATTATAAAATGTCCTAAGCTGTACATACTGGGTATTAGCTGTGGGCTTTCTACACCGCAGGACACGCTAACTACACACGGCCTCGGACTCATTTACATGCTGAAACAAAGAATTGTGCAGTTTAGACATCACCACGGCAACGACATTAATTCAAAAGAAAACTAAAACTCCACAAACACAGATTTACAAACTACACCGCAACTACACTCAGTGGGAAAACGGCCGGAGTTGAATTATTCCGATTTTATTATCTGGGAAGACGGCTAACGATGTGCAGCGCAGCCCATGACACCGAAAAGCCTCGCTAGTGCCCCCTGGTGGCTGCGATCATTGTTGCACCCTCCCCCAAAAAACACGTGACATTGTGATCATTTAGTCGTTCCGGATATTAAAGCTTGAAAAGTAAAGTTTAGGGTGTTTCTGGTTTAAACATCAAATCTGTTTTCTCTATATATACAACTGTGGGATTTTATTTTTATATTTCCTGGGTAAAGGTAGATGTTTACGGCTGCTGCTGATGAGTAACATTATTGTGTTCATCCTCTGGGGATCATGAAAACTGTCCACACGGGTGCTTTCATAGTTTTAAGGACTACAGTGTTGGCCGACTGGAAAATTTAGACACGTTGCTACAGAAAAGATCTGGAGGAAACTCTGTCCCAAACACGTCTGGTCAGTACTTCGGTTCTAACTAACGCCAAGTTCACGCGACACGACTGGTCGTCTCGTGATCCGGAGTCACTGTGAGTTCGTACGTCACGATCTTTCACCAGGAGAAACCTCCGACAAGTACGTCTGCTTGTGGTCAAGTGGAAAATCAGGCTGAAGATCGTGTCGTGTGAACGAGACATTAAACCACTCGGCTGAACAACTGACCGACATCTTCATGCACCACTGACACGATCGGGGGGCGAAGAAACGAAGCAAAGCTTTGAAACGTTTTTTTTTTTTTTTTCTTATCTGCCATTGTATGTTTATTATTTTACACATGTACTCTTTTCTACAGTGACACGATGTGTAGTGATAATCGGAGCCGGTGATGTGTGTGCACCATAATACTGGAGGTGAACCTGGAGTTCACACCTGGCGGGAGCATCTATCGAACAACGCTGAAAGGAAATACAGCAGAAAGTTGTTCAGACGAAAAACAGCTCACATCGTAAAACATTCAGACACAGTGAGACGCCTGAAAACTACAAATGCCTTGTGCATAGCCTGAATATTTACATTTCCCCTCTTTCATTATAGGAAAGAACGACAGAATGTTTTAGAAAAGGAAATAAAACGCATTAAAAAGAAACTGGAAACAAAAAGAAAAAGTTCCACAAGAGCCTGAAACTGCTGCACCTCACTGAGCCGGAGCTCATCTCATCCGTTAGCTTACCGAGCTAATGCAACACACTGACCACATGAGGTCAAGTTGCAGAACAAAATAATGATCCAGTAAAAAAAAAAAAAACTTGTTTATCTGGATAAATGGGACAGAACAAGATGGAAAAGATATTTTCTATAATTAAGAATAGAATTGGTTTAGAAATGTCTTGATAAAATGAAAGTCTACTCATGTGTGTGTTGCTGCGGTCGGACTCTCAGCCTGACACCATGCAGCAGAGTCCAGGGAAGCGTCTCTTCCTCTGTCTGATCAGCGGATGAGGAGTCAGGTTCAACAAGCTGCTGTCGTCTGGAACCAACGCGGATGAGAACGTGTGAATCACTCTGCATCGTGTCAAACTTCTTATCAGTGATACTGTGAATTTCACCCATCACAAACTTTACAAACCTTGGTTCTTCAGTGGCAATGGCATCGTGTCCCTGAGTTTGCTGAGTAGGTTTCGCATCTCTCGCATGTCTCTGTGAAGACAGGACGAGTCAGCAGAGACACGAGACGAGTTTCAATTCCATCAACCACCGTGAAAATATTTAAAAGCAGATTCAGTCCCCGTACCTCTCAATGTTTTCAATATCGTTTCCCACCAGCCACTGCTCCTGAGCGAAGTCTATGGGCGAGGACGACCGCTCTTCCAGGAACGGGACGTCCGAGCTCTCGTCCATCCTGAAGTCCACCTTCGGCTCCGAGTCGGTTCCTTCAGGAGGGAACAGACAACCACATCTGTCCAGCTGTGCATGAATGTGTGCTCATGTAACAATAAAACATTTTAAATGACTCGTGTCAGATGTTGGCGATGAAATTAAAGACGACTCTGACAGAACAACAAAGAAACTGAGGCTGAATCTGTGTCAGAGTCACTGAGACGTTACTTTTTCTGTGGAGCTGCAGCACCCCCAGCAGGCACATGGATTTCAGCATCTCCGTCACGAACATCTCCAGGCAGCACTGCAGCTGAATGAAGAGCCGACAGATCTCAGGGTGGATCTCTCCGTCCTCCGGCCTGCAGCAGCACGAGGAGGAGGAGGAGGAGAGGAAGAGGAGGTAAAAATAAAATCAGACAGTGTGTTTTTATATTGGAGCTGAAGTTCAGGACAGAACATACTTCATAACCACTCACAGTGGGTCAGTTATAGTTTCCTTACAACAATAACTTGACTTCTTTTATTCTTCTGCAAGTTGTTCATCAGTGTTTCTCATGTGAAAAAACAACATTGAATTTATAGCAAACTTATATTCCACTAAATCTGATGGTTTGTCTTGATTCTTGCTTTGTTTCTGTTTCTCATTCTCTCCTGGGAAAGACTTTAACAATCTCAATGGAACATCCAGATTAAATAAAGAATACATACAAAGTATTCACTCTGTACAGCTCAAACGTTTGATTGTTTTACTCCAACGATCCACCACTGGTTCTTTGATTTTCTGTTTTTCTCACCCTGAACCAGAGAGGACGGTGAGGTCCTGGTGCGCTGCCCGGGCCATGGAGCATCCTTTGGAGCGTGTGAGTTGCATCTGAGCCCGCAGGGAGGGACAGTCGGTGGAGGTCTCCCCGATGGATATGACCTGCTCCCGGTACAGAGCCACCAGGGTGTTGAATTCCTGGACAGTCTGCATGCAAACAAAACCAAAACAAGACACAGTGACTCTAATGCAACTTAGAATTAAAATGTGCATCCTGGCTTCATTTGCTGCAGGAGGAGAACCGGTGTCTCTCTGCAGGAGGAGAACCAGTGTCTCTTTGCAGGAGAACCAGTGTCTCTCTGCAGGAGGAGAACC